TACACCACAGTGGGTGCGCGCCCCATCAGCAGTGATACAAGTTGGTGACACTTTCTGTCCCTCTGACAGGACACGGGGTCACGAATGGGAGAAGTCAACAAGTTGTTACTGTAACCGAGAATGAGCAATTCTACGGAATTCAACATTAACCAAATATATTTTCCAGATTTCGTATTAATAATCTTATCTTTAGGCAATCAAAATTATTTACTTCAGTTTCCAAGTGAGCCACTCCCTGTCTTCTACATAAAATCATATATAATATTACTTAAATATATGCACATGGAGAAATCTGTTAAAATTATAATTCATACTATTGTCATTTATGTGTTGGCATTTACACTTACTGTGACAAGAAGTACAGTTCGTCAACAAATTCCTTGGCATTACGAAAACCTATCCTGAACCAGTTATATATTTCAGTTCACATCCTTGAATCCCATTTCTCTCAAATCCCTTTGAGTGTTGTCCATCTTTTCACGCGCATTGCACTCTCGCAATAGGCTTCTTCGAGTGAAATCTCCCAAACAAAATTCTGAATGCACTTCCTATTTCCCAATGTGCTGCTCACGTTAAACCAGGACCAGATGGCTAACAGCAACTAAAGATGCATCTAATCTGATCTTTTCTCTGTGTCCTATTGCATAGAGTACCAGTGAACTACGAAAGTAAAGAGTTTTTATGTTTATTTTTTTAACGTGAGCCCGGGTAAGACGGCCAAATGAACATTTCTCTCCTGACAGCCAAACTACAAACCTGACGCTGTAATCCAACATTCAAGACTGTGGCACTAACAACAAAGCGACAAAGACAGCACAAAACAAATAAAGATATTATATTAAAGACGCCTGTATTTCGTGTACGTGATTTGCTCTGCCTGATAAATATCTTTCCGGGTCACTGATTTCAGAGGAGATAAAATACGTCATATTTCTCACAGAAAAAAAGTGAAAAAGGTACGACGTAAGAATGGATTGGATCTAATGCAAATCGCTGGCAGTTGTGCGTGTGGCGTCACTCGAAGTAACCGCTGCGCGAGAGGACAAGGCCTCCAGCCGTCTGGACACCATTACCGATTCTAAGCTGGAATTTAAGGCGAGAAATGGCACACGCCTCGCGCTCCTTCTCATTTCTTTAGGGGAAATTGCCATGGCAACACACGATGGAGTCTTTCATTAGCTGTTTCTCAGAAAACCCACTTTCCTTTCGACAAACACCTGAGAATAAAATGACACCAAGTCAATTTCAACTTCGCAACAAAGGAAATTTCCTGTTTGATCCTTGGCTAAGATGACTGTCATTAAATGAAACAACGAAATCAAACCCACAGACTGTATTGAAGGTAAACAACTCAAGGACCGCAGATCCATTCCAAACTCCGACATCAAATTCTGGAGCATGTTGGCAGACAGAACAATTTCTTGTTCTAATGGCCATGTAGTACTCACGGGAGAGATGAAGAATGATTTACAAGCTTCTTGTTGGAAACTCTGAAGGGAAGAGGGAAAAGACCACACGGAAAACAATGTAGATGGAAGGATAATATTAAAATAGATGTTGAGGGTGTGGACTGCATTCACTTCGCTCAGGGTAAGGACTGATGGTAGGCTCTTATAAACACAGAAGCACGGCATTTTGAACGTTCCGAACCGCTTTGAGGACGCTCATGTCTTCTTAGAAACTATAAAACAATTATTTAAAATTTACGTTGTTTCCACTACAATTATCACGAAAGAAACACAAATAAAAGTTTTAAATGTTAATGTTAAGTTGTAATAAGTTACTGCTTGCAATGTAAAAACGTACGTACTCCCTCCACTTTCTGATCAGTTGATGGCCACCTTCAATGGTTTTCAAATGCATTATGGGTATAAACCAAAATACACCAGACAGAACCTGACGTGAAAATATTTTATTCGATATTAATGAACGATTCAGAAAGAAACACGAAGCCGTCAAGAAACATCGCTCATACTAAAGACACAATCACTCTATCTCAACAAACAGTCGCCCCGGTCCAGAGTATGTGGCAGAGGAGTCATTATCAAACTGCGATGTCCTGTCTACAGGACAAAAAAAAATACACAAGCTGTTACAATCCGAAAGAGGAGATATACATCAGCAACATGACATCCACGTGTTGGCGTCACGTATTTTATCATTCGAAATCGGCACCCAACCACGTCCTCGTGTTATTTGTTATGGATTTTCCCCCCCTTTTTACACCTGCTTCGGATGTGTTTCCTTTTAATCCAACCTGTGTGTCACAGGAACACATATTTATCCGTATTTACTTCCCGTGGTTAGGAGGAGCTAGGGTTTGAAATGATGGGTGGCGCTCATGGTGGTCAGACAGAAGGCGGATTTGCTAGAATATCGTGATGTATGTTTCACAACGCGGCACCAAATAACGTCAAAAATCGCCAAATTAAGAAGGCGCTAAAACTGATAAAAAGAACTAGTGCATTCTCTTTACTGAGCTTAGGAACACATACGCGCTTAAGAATTTTACCCTTTACAGCACAGTGGCAACTATATGAACCATCTGATTTAACACTCAGTAACTGCGTATTTTGTCCAAAAAATGTATTTTTGGTTTCATATGTTTATCAGAAATAACAGTGATTATTTACTTAAACAACGTTAACCAAACTACTTTTGTCATGGAGAGTGTTGTGTTTCGTTTCGGGCAGGGCTGAATTTTTAAATATTATGTAGATGAACTTCGTGACTCAAAGGGTCAACTAATTCCGCTTACATGTTTAGTATTACAATTATAGGCTAAAATGAGTATAATACGCAACGCTGTAACTTGAAAACGTCTCTCAAAGATGACTTGCCGTTTCTATTATTGGTCAGGACAGGGTCCAGTGGCTGGACCTCGTGACCATGGTACTGACACTTGTGTTAAATAAAGGGCGAGGAATATCCTGACCATCTGGGCGACTACAAAAATTAACTTTCCAACAAAGCCTCAGTTCCATACAGTCACTTATTTAACGAAACAGAACAAGGGGAAGAAGATGGCTGTCTTCTGGGTCGTAGCACCGTGTAGTTTAGTATAAGTTCACTGTCCGCCCTGATGATGTACGGTGCAAGGACCTCCGAAACGTTGGTAAACTTCTACTAGACTACACGGCGCTACATCCCAGAAGACAGCCACCTTCCTTGTAAAATTTCTTATAACCTCTAGCTGTAAATTCAACAAGACACTACACAAATATAATTTTATTGACAAACAAAACCAGTACTGAAATACGTTACACAACTCAAAATGACACCGTAAAATCAATCAACAAATTGGAAAAAAAATTAACGTTGGGAAAAACAGTTGTGTCACACGCCCTTGCGCGTTTCTTCTACCGGCTATTCTCTCTCTCTCTCTCTCTCTCTCTCTCTCTCCCCCCCCTCTCTGTATCTTTCCTCACAATTCTGTCCTCCCTCGCACGTTCCATTCTCGAACCCCACTTCACCCTTATTATTATTTCCCGTCGCTCCCCCCCAGACAGAACCTTATCTGCCTTCTCCAACCGACCAAAATATATAATTTGCATTTTTCCCCTCCCGAAGCCAATGGCGCGCGTGAGATTAGGCTCCAGCAAGTAATGCAAGCAAATAGCTCTGAGCTATTTAAAGAGAAAATAATGTGGGCCAACTACTCTTTTCTGAGATTGGCTGATGATTTTTTAGTCTTCGTTATTAGTTAGATGGGTAGAGAATTACATTACTTAATCTCACTTCCCATATCTGAAAGCTACAATGACTTGAGCTTTAACTAGAAGTAATCACATTGAAAGCTCCAAGTTGTGTGGCGCTAAAAATGCGACCAACCAATTTTCTTTTCATTAATGGGTTTATCTTTCAAACACTCAACCCCGAGTTTCGTTGAAGTAATACAAAATGTCTAAACTTCTTCTGTAATAAACTAATGGATACTTAACCGTTATATCAAACTTCTGATTATGTTAAAGAGGTAATCTCAATACCAGGCTGTGTTTACAAATAATCAGAATAAGTAATATTATACAATGGCTGATATTGTCCTATAACACTTAGTAACTTGATCTTTGAAGCAGAAGTTCATTTAAATGGTATTTACAAATTAATTTCCCATCACAAATAAAACAAACCCCATCTCCATTCCAAAATATCGACTGGGAAACGCTGTTTAAGAAAATAATCGCTATTTATTCTAAAAACCATACGACACCCATACATACACCCAGGCGGCAAAGTAGGTAGTTACTGAATATTAAAGCAGATGGTACATATAATTACCACTGAGCTTTAAATGGTTCGACGAATTAAATGGTCATAATATCCAATAATGTCAAAAACTTTTAAAATTTAGAAATATTATGAGAAAACACAGTCCTGTTCTCTGATTAATAATTAAATAGTAGCCGGGATAGCTCAGTCAGTATAGTGACTAGCTACGGGCTGGACGACCGGGGTTCGATCCCCGACGGGGGCAGAGGATTTTTCCTCTAGCCTCTGCGTCCAGACCGGCTCTGGGGCCCACCCAGCCTCCTCTACAATGGGTACCGGGGTCCTTTCCCGGGGGTAAAGCCGGCCGGGGCGTGATGCTGACCACTCACCCCCATCTAGTGCCGAGGTCAAGGAAGAGAGGAGCTATACCTCCACTCACCCCAAACGCCTACATGGCGTATAGTGGGACAAACTTTACTTTACTTTTAGTATCCTGTCCTAATTCTCTCGTTGTATAAGGCGCTTCCTGTCTTAAGACGCGGGTCTCTGTCACTTTAACTGCGTCATCTTAATTTTCTCGTAATGGTGAAGACATAACGATGGACCGGCCCACAATACGATTCCCTGAAGTAAGTCAGGAATTATTCCAATTTGTTAAAGATCGACAGTTAATGACACAAACTTCGCTTCAGTCCGCATTACTTGTTCCGCCTCCATTGCTTCTTAAAGCAAAATTCAACTGCAATTTCTTAAATAGACGAATTCAAAAGAACTCAGGCAGACGAACTTACCTTTTGATCTGGGCGTTCTGGTAGCATGACCCCCACCTCCCTCGGAGTGCGCCGGTGGTGTGGGCTGGCGACCACCCCGGGGGGGCTCCTTGCTGTTGCTGCTGCAGCTGGAAGAACCAGTGTCACGGTCAGGAACTTCCTCTTTGATCAACTTCGGTTCCATCTACTGCTGCGAACATAGAACATACCTCTGCTGGAACGAACAATACTGTCGGCTGCTTGCAAGGAAAAACCTAGATAACAGGCCTACATACGGAATAGAGGTGAAAGGAAACATACTGAAAAACATAAACCCAACCATTTGAAGCCAAAGCTCATATAAATATTATTTAAAAATTCAGTTCTTAGATCTAAGAATACACAGCATCACTCCATTAAAAAATATGAAGATTAATTACTTTTAAGGAATGAAGACAAAGTCTATGTTTCTCCAAAACGTTGGTATCTACCTAAGAATCTACGCTGCGTCGAAACCCGGAACATCGCCCAATAATCGCTGTTTGCTCTGAGAATCGTAAGAAACCCTTAAATAAAATCTGTGGACAAAATGTGAGAACTGTTAAAGGAAGTGACATATGTAGTTACTACGAGGTTTTAAAGAACCAAGATGAGAAAACTAAAACATTTAACTACGCAATTCCAACTAAGGAGGTTATTATGTAGTGTCGAAATCACATTTAAAGGTGATCATTAAAGCTGAGGGTACCCTGATAATGGAAGCAGCAAGTACCTCTGAATGTCCTTAAACTTTTACCAGACTACATGGTGCAACGACTCAGAAAAAAAATACATCTTATTATCTGAAACTGTCTGTAATAGAACGAGATTAACATCTCAACAGGAAAGTATGTGGCATGTCTAACCATCACTGAGTTAATATAAGGTTAGAACCGTGTCCAGAAGTTTTGTCATTGGGGGATTCCACAGTCATTTGTGATACAGCAGAAGGGACAGGACACTCAGTCCCTAGTGTGAGGATATCCACCCTCTTCCAAATTCTTGCTATAAAAATTCCAATATAAGTTCCCTTCGCAACCACAGCTGGACTGTAGTGCAGACATCGATGATATGAGTATTGATATTGGACGGACGGACGGACAGGGGATGGGAAGGGGGGTAGTGGTCAAAAGGATGGGGGCAGAGGTCTGGGGGCGCCATATGGGGCCCAGCAAGGAGGTACTGCAAATGATAGGCAGGGTGGATACACACTACAGTCGATGGTTGGAAACCATCACTGAGAGACATTCTAAGGAGGTCTTTCGGTAATTGAAATCACGGCATATGACGGAGAGACCAGCTGCAGAATACAGGTTATGTCAAAACATAGGTTGCAGACAAATTTCTGCAACCATTGTTAACAAGCACCACGAGTTAAGAATATATAGATCTAACGGTCCCATCACAAGCTTCTAAATCTCACTTTCCTTTAATTTTACCACTTTAAGAATTATTTCACACGGTAGCTCCCGCGATTCGAATCCGCGACGTTACGGGTTTAAATCTCCACCGGGAGACAGATTATTTTAGCGGGATCTCCATTATTTTCCTTTATCCCTCCGTATAAATACTTGGACAGTGCTTTAAACAGGCCTTGACAATTTTCTTTCATATCCTTTCGAATTCGTCATTCATAATTACCCTGCTATTCGAAAGAATATGACGTATGTGCTGGAGAAAAGGTCATTAAATTACCCAACGATCAATTAACCTCAAAGATGCAAAGCAGAAATATTTGTCGTGAAGGTATATTCTTTCGAGCTAATACATAAATGAACCACGTGAATGTAATTGTCAAACGTCGTCTCGTAACAGCTAACTCCATGGCGCAGAGTCCTTTAAAAAGCTTACAGTCGTTTACCTAGTAGAGAAATCCCAAGCCTTTTATGGAATCCGAATGTTCATTACAGTGTTTACAACAGTCAATCATCATTCCCTATCCTGAGCGAGATTTAATTCAATCCACAGCCTCTCAATATGTTTCCTTAAAATGTTTTCATATAAACTTCTTTTCTATACATATTTACTCTGAGCGGTCTCTAGCTTCCAGGCTTCCCAACCAAAATTTTATACGCAATTCTCATCTCTCTTAAGGAGACTGAAATACTTCTAACTGTTCGAAACATATCCCGTAACTTTGGTCGCAACACATGTTGTACCAACTCCACGACGTAAATCACAAAATTATTACGTTTCACAATCCAATAGATGTCACCACGGTATAGGCATTATCTTTAATGTCAAGTTAAGTAAAAACCTGCAACATTATCCTTAACTCTCGCCCCTCGTCCCAACTTACCGTCGAAGAGAACGGGCTATAAAATAATATTAAGGCCTCCAAAATTGAAAATCCTTTGGGTTGGCGAAGGGAAGAACGCTTCAGTAGAAATTAACCGTGTAAGCTGCGAACAAATGAGCCATGAATATCGTTACTAAGCTGTTGGTCACCTCATTTGCATACCATAATGCTGGAGAAACGTCGTTTACATAAGAGCCCCGGGGAGGAGTCAGACAGTTACGTGTTCCCATGAAAAAGAGAGCTCATCGTTGCATGTTTTTCCCCTTCGTGGCGACGTAATTGTAAGGATGAGATTTAGACGCTATTTACTACAACACTAACTCGCAAAAAAAAAAAAAAAAAAAAGCTTAGTCCCCAGAGGTATAAACTTGAAGCAGAAACCGTGTTGAAATTGGGAACCGAACCAGTCCCTGCAGCTTATGCAACAGAACAAGCACCGCGTTTCATTGTTCTTTTACATTTTCCTACCTCAAAGAGAGCAGTCATCTATGTGGTATCACAATGAAATGGTTAACCCAATACGAAATGGATAAACTGATTTGGGAATTTTTGGTTTATTAGCGACAGCACCCAATCTTCATCTGGGATTTTCTTAAAGGAAGTGAATTTAAATATTAAAAGAGTTAAAGTTAATTTTCACGAGCGAAGGAAAACGCCAACTCGCCTATCTGATAATGCACGTGTCGATTTGTCATATGGGTGCTGGAGATGGTGGGAAAGGCAATTTGGTGTTTTTTCCTGGATAGAACGTGGTGGTTCAGAATGTTTCAATTAAAGTCATGATTTGACATCCAAACTGGGTGGATGTAGGACTCCACTACCGTCTTCACGAAGACTTCCCGGCAACTGCTGAGTATAATTACTTAAAGGTAAGCCTTGGAATGTTTGAGAATGTTTAGAAACAACTAAGACGGGATTTACAAAATTGAGTTAGGCAAATTACGAATGTAAAGAATGTGTACAAGATCACGAATATTCAGAGCGTCTTTAAAATAACACAACAAATTACCCCCCCCCCCCCCCCCCCCAAAATTCGTGAGACTTACAGAACTTTTCCAATACAAAACACAATAACATTTTTGCTTTTAAAACGCTGATAAGGGAAATATATCAAGATTCTGTCGCCTGGAATGTTGTGTAATGAAACCATTAAACCATAAAATTATTTAATGTACGTTCATATATTCTAGTCGCGTATACAGCTGAAAAGTTTGCTGTAACATAAGTCTGTAAATTGTAATTTTTTTCTTTCTATCCATTTCTGTGGTGGGTCGAAAAAAGGAAAACAGAATAGAGAACAGGGTAATTACAGAAATTCATGTAATTTGAAGCTTATGAAACTATGTAATTTAACAAACTGCTAATAAAACCACAAGTAGGCATGTACCCATAATTCTTTGCGTCATGATTAATGTTGGTCATCCGTCTGATATATACTTAGTGTTTCCTCTTGCTACTTCGCAGATCTATCGCCTGATACATTTATTTTTACATTTTTCATGTTTGTTCCACTGTCCTGTACCTGACCATTATAAATCCGTCAGTGTCAACAAACCAGTTTCCTAGATTCAACTTAACCTAGACTATGTTTTAATCTCTACAATTACGGGCAAACGAATTACACTGGGTTTTACAAGTTTCTTTTGCATCTACTTGTAGAACGTGTTACATATGTCGCAGGCTACGTATTATGTTATGTTCGCTGACTTCAGTGACCCATGATGCTTAGTTTTCATACTTCAGACTCTTCAGAATTTTGTCAATAATGTTTCTCCAATCTGGGAAACCCATAAAGCATAAATTATAATTTTATTATTAACCTTCATGGTTTAGCTCATTTAGCCTGCTCCCACTCTCCATATGTTACTTTTAAGACTCAAATATAAAAAGTTGAAAGTATACATATTAATATTATTATATTCCTAATTAGATTCCTATGACCATTATCATTATAAATACGAATAACGTGGAATACTTCGCCCATTATATCTGTCCTATTAAAATTATAATTCGCTTTTAAGACGTAAGATATTGTATAGTACAAAGCAGAGTAGTTATTGAGAAGTTTATGGTGGCTCACATGCTCAAGAAATTCTCCTCTTTTTATGGAACCCAAAGCTTCATTGCCGGCTTCATGAGACTCCATAAGTGACCTCTAGTCTTATCCAGTTAAATCAAGTCTAAACCCTGGAACCCTATGTTTTAGATCCGTTTAAATATTATACCCTATCTTCTCACAAACTTGTATATCAGCACCACATAATTCCGATATCAGACAGAATTTCTGATGTTGGAGCTTTCGTGTGTCCATGAGAAATTATGTTTTCTGTCCTCAATGACCCTTAAGAATTACTGATCTGCTAAGTGAATGTGTGTGTGGGTTTGTATGTATGTTCGAAAATTAATTCATTCAAAATTTATTCAGCCGATGATTGTGTGCGTATGTTTCCGAGGTAACGTATAACACCTGCTAAAATTCACAGGACGCTGACACAATCAATTAAAAATTCTGGATTGGCGAAACATGCGTGCAGTTCCATTAGCACGTACTATTTGCAGGAACCGAGTAATAAAATAAACTGAGGATTGCAATTCGAAGTTCAAAGTTGTTTAATGCATCATGAACGTGCAGCAGCCTGTTTGTCCCTGTTCGCATATGTAAAACAAACAGCCATGCCTACAAGATAAGCTTGGTGTAAAATAGGTTATTGTTCCGTACAGCGATGCTACCTAGAATTATATAAAATAGCCACGATTAAATAAAACCAAGTCTGGAGGCTATTAAAAGAAAACATTGTTAATCATCTCTAACATGGAATTATAGAATAGGATTAACGATTTATGAACCGGAGATATGATATTTCTTTTGCAGT